ATTATGGGATGAAAACTAGCTAGTAACAGGGTTATCAATTTTGGTATTAAAACATTTCGGCTACCCCTAAAATTGCCGAAAATCGTGAAATTTGGCTAAGATTTTGCTGATTTTTTTAGAGACTTGCACATGAAGTGCGCTTTTTTCTTAAGAATTACCGAAATTCACGAAATTTTGGCAAAATTTCATCGAAATTTTGAACCCTGGCTAGTAACAATTAGCACTAGTGGATCCGTGGTCGTACTTACTCCCTCTATTCTCTTTTATAAGGCAAAGTTTGACATGACATAGTTTTTGAAATTACACTTTCATCATTTATTTATCTTTATTATATTGTTTATATTTACAAAAATATTATAATGGGATAGTAGACTTAATTACAAATCTAATTGTATCAAGTTTGTATTATAATAATTAAAAATTGTTGACCAAATTACTGGTTAAGGATTTATAAGTTTAAATTTTGATATGAATGTACACTTAGTAGAAAAGAAGGGAGGGAGTATTTCTAAACAATGTGTTTCCTAGAAGACTATAAGTATAAGGCTTTCACAAGAACTTATTGCTGCTGAAAATATTTCCAAACAATGTGTTTTATGAAAGTTAATAATTAACCCACGTTCTTTGATTCAATTTCTATACCTTGTCACACATCCTAATTCAAACATTTCTTTCTTTGATTGTCAACTTCTATAAATTCATATACTTTATAACAACGTGCAAATTATATATAATGAATATATATCTCAGGGTGAATTTTAAAACAAATTGTATGATCCTAAACTGTATGAATATATAGAATTTGATTATTATTATCATATAAATGTTGACTTTTGACCAAATTATAATGCCAACTTTATTATATATAATACATAGTACGAAATAAAGGGAATACTATCCAACGCATCTTGGCTGACGAGTCGATCCACAGGCAAGGACAATAATATGCTTTCATGGAACCACAACCACAACCACAACCATGCATCAGTGTACGTGTTCAGTCCACAATGCATGTACGCATCATCTCGGACAGACTAATTATCACAAATTAAATAGGCGAGCAGGTACGTACGCGCACTGTCATGCCCTTAAACCTACTATACTCTGGATAGCAGCTAAGCAATTGAGCGGACGCGTGCATGCATGCGTAAGGTAGCGCGTGCCTGCCTGCACTCTCAAATTCTTTTAACCCGTTTTTTTTTTGAGTACCAGTGTAGCAGCAGAATCTTCAGGTACAAGAAGGCGATCTGAGCCTTAAAAAACCCTCGCCGGGTACTTCTAGTGGCTACCAGGCAAGAAGGTTAGTAACTGGTACAGCTATCTAAACCCAAGCATACGTCACAATCACAAGGATGCTGATCCTCCATTTTCGAATGTGTATATACAAATCAGCGGACTCCAACTTGTGCGACAGGTAATATTCAATGTCTCGTGTCAAAACGAAACGATCCATTGTTTGGGCGTAAAGGAGATAGTATGAAGATTACACTGTCATTAAACTATCTTATCTCATCGCTTCTTTAACTGGTCATGCATGAACACTGCACAGTGCTATGGTTGAGACAGACAGGGGCGGAGCTAGGATTTGAGCATAGGGGGGCATGCAAGCCGGCAACAACCATGCATGTCAAAATGTATACACGCGACAAAGATGTACATAACACACAAATAAACGTTTATGTTGCGATACAAAAGAAAGCAGAAAAAAACTAAAAAATGAAGGGAGTTTAATTAGCCTCGGGCCTCTAACCTTTACCCGATCAATCTAATTCTTTGACCAGAAAAAGAATTACGGTAATAACAAGTAGTTAAACAGGGCCAAAACTAATTAGCACTAGATCCTAAATGTTAAATGGCAAACAATCGGTCACTTGTCGTTTAGCCTCGAACAAAACGGTCACTTAAACGGTAGACGATTAAACGGAAACATCATACCACTATGTAGCATTTAAATTTTAAATATTGACCAAACTCTCTAATGCCAATTGAAGATCAATTTTGAAGGATTAAACAAGAAAAAGCACTGATTTCAATTAACTAGCTAATTAGAGTGTGTGGTATGGGGACAAATTAATGTTTGGTAAGCAATAACGAAAACAAAAAGATATGGAGAAAATATTAGAAAGACCTAATTTTTATTTATCTAAAATACTATTAGATATTAATGTGGAGTAAGAACAAAAAAATTATAGTACTAATAGTATCATTAACTAGCTAATTAGATAATTAAGCACCTAATTTAGGGGGTGCATTATGGGAGTTATGGGAAGTTTGGGGGGTGCCAGGCCCCCCTTCCCTCCACTGGAGACAGATACCGTTCCTTCTGCTCCTATTGGTCGCCATTCACAGCCTAGAAACACTGACCCTTTTTTACTACGTCAGCATAGGAGCACAAGTGGTAGATACACTAACACTACAAGTCTACAACTGCACAAGCCTATACATGCACTCCAATCTGACTTGCTGAATAAAGTGCGGTTACACATCCAAATTGTATTGAAACTTCAGACCACTAGGAAGCAACAAGTTCATGCTTATTGATATGCTGGTCTACAGTACACAGTATCTTGCTGATGCCATTTATTAATTGGGCTTAATGAACTGTCACCCTGGGATGCCTATATCTGCAGTTCTGCATCACAATGATTTGCATTGTGTGATTCAGAACCATGCATACTACTAGTGGTTGTAACAGTATTAAAACAGCTATTAGTAGTGGGCAGACAGTATTGGCAATCAGCAGGACCATCAGAACTTCAATTCACACCTCTTTATTATTTGTTTTGTTTTTCTGTGAGTGCTCTCAAATTAAACTGCTATAATTTATTCTGTTCCGAGTATTTATAGTTCTCTCTCGATCCTAAGCTATAAATTAACATTTTTAGCTTTTATTTCTCTTATCAAATCGTGTCTTGCCCTACAACATAGATTTATGATTTTTCACATGAAAATGAGGGTACATACAACAACCATGCAAGAAGAAGTAGTAAAGGCTGTCCAACAACAATAACCGCTAGATGCACAAGGAAGGGCACATAAATCTAGCAAGGACCACGCTGTCCTTGATTCAGAGGAAAAGGCAAAGGCGTAAAGCAGCGGTGTTATTCGTGTTGCCGCCCAGAAGGCCAGAGGGTCGAAAAGGATACGTACGTGCGAGCGAGGCAGCGGAGCATGTGACAGGAGAGGTGATTTATACGGCTGATTTGTTAGGAGAGAAAAATATTGTACTATGACTGATAAACTGGCTTGTAACGACAGCCGAACATAGCCTAAGAGCCTGTTCGCTGGTTGGTTTCTGGACTCATAAGTTCGGCTAGTACTGGTTTGTTATGAGAGAAAAACACTATTGGCTGACTGATAAGCTCTGGCTGAAATCAACGAGCGAACGTGGGCTGTAAATTCATAGCAAGCAAAGACTACATACCGATCGATTGATCTACTCTTGTTTTGCAGTTTGTGAGCCACATCGAGCGAGGGACTACGGTTACTGGTAACAGCGACACAGTTCGTACTAACAGTATTAGCTTGGCAAGAATCTATAGAGCGCGCGTGCATTGATGGGAAGCATGGGCACAAAAAGAGTGGAGGGGACGGACAGCCGTGATGAGCCGATGGATCATGTGAAGGCGCGTTGCTGTGTCAACCAATGGTATGATGGAACTCATGTGAACAGCATCTGATCTGAACAATGCTTGCATGTAGTCTTGCATTGACTCGCTCATCACAAAGAGCATGTGACTCCAACACTTTGTCCCGGGCCCCGGCCTCATCTTCTTTTAAAATTATTATTGCCTGCTGCTCTGTTCCGTTGGGCTGTTCCAGCGGGCGCGCGTGCCTGCGCTCCGGGCCAGAGACCATCTTTTCTGCCTCCTCTTCAATACCGGGATGAGAGCAGAGCAACAAGTGCAAACTGCACCGGCTTTCCTGGGCAGCCGCTTTGAGTGCGGCCGGGCCAAGGGATGAGGATGATCGATCGGCAGACCAGACCAGATGGAGACGATGGCTCGCGGTCGCGGCGCCCGGAAGAAACAAGAAAGAAAGCCTGGTGCCCAACTGCCGCATCGGTGCAGCCACCGTGCACGGGAAGAATGCAGTGCAGACGGTCGATCGCTTTGCTGCCAAACCACCTGCCCGCTTCCTTTTGTTGGGATCGACGATCGGCTCCCCGCTGCTCCGTTCTTTCTTCGCTTCCTTCCAAGCCAAGTCGTTGTTGTGCCCGGCTCGATCTGGGAGGGTGATTGGACGGGGAGGGTTTCCCGAATCGGGCCAGCGGCGTGCGCTTGTGCTCGTGCGGTCTCATGATGGCACGCCCGGATGCGGATGAAAAAGGCCAAGGCTATTCGTCTCGTTCGCTTGATTTATAAGCTATACTTTTTCAGTCAACGAATAATATTTTTCTTTTACCATAAATCAATCACTTTCGCCAAGCGAACAAGGCAAATTGAAAGCTAGGAGAGCGGTAATCATGAGACCGTGTGACGAACTGCGTCCCGGCTCTCTGCAGACTGCAGTGCAGGCACACGCCTGACGCCTCAGTAGTACAGACGTGTTGGCGCCGTATTGGCACTGCTCTTCCAAGTTCATTAAATGGGATGGCTTTTAAAAAAGAAAAGTTTAAAAGGATAGAGTCCAAGTAGCTCAGGCCTTAGGTCCAAGTTAGCGTCAGGCCCACAAGTTTCTACTGGGCTGTTCAGGTGTTCTCGGCCCAACGCACATGCATGCAGTCGTCTGTCTGGACTTCTGGAGACGAGTGAGACGGCATGAAGTTGCGGAGAGACGCTGCATGCAGCCTGAAGAAATTCAGTGAACCAGCATCGCTCCATATAAAAAGCCTTACAAAATGAGAACAGACAGCTGAAGCATGAATTCATGACGAAAGAAATGCTGAGCCAGCATTTCCGAAAACATACAGTGTCTCCAATTATTAGTACATTATTCTGTTCAATAATAAAAGAAAAGAAAGGGTGTGCAATCCATCCACACAACATAGAAAGAAAAGATCACCTTCGCCTGGATCCTCCTCTGGCCTTGCGTTCAGTGCCTCTAGTAGTACGCTTCGCCTTGGATTTCAGTGCGGCGCACTTGGGGCACAGCCAGTCGTCGTCGGGGACAGCCTCCAACGGAGGGTCGCAGCAGTCGATGTGCATACCGATCCCACAGCCGATCTCACCGTCCTCGTCGCCACAGATGAGCATCACGTCTCCCCGGTCCTTGCGGAAGCACGCCGAGCAACTCAGGTCCTCCGGATCGTCCCCCTCATTGTCTTCCGACGGTTCTGACTTCACCGTGGCCATCTCTTGCTGGTTCTTCATGAGTTTCTCAAGGGACTTGTTGGCCACGTGGTTCGTCTTGAACAGAACATGCCGGTCGAGGGGTTGGCCAGGCTTGCTGACGTACTCAACCAGATAATCAGCGCTGACACAGGGAATACCGTGACCGATGAACTCCTGAACCCATACGTCTGTTCTTGGTATGGTCTCTGATACTACGGCGAAGTCAACCCCGGAGTCTAGGAATCGAGTGTATGGCGGTGATGTTGCTAAAATGGCGCCATCACCAGCTTTTACTGCACGCTTTACTGTGTCCTGGAAAGAAAAGGAACTCTAAATTTAGAAAATGCGAAACAAAATCAAACCCCAAAGTATGTATATAAGATAATAGGCGATTGACCTATAGTGCAACACTAGTTTCCTCAGGCACCTTAGTGTCACAAGGCTGTTGTCAAATGAGTTGACTATAAGCAAAGAATTATTACCAGAGTTGGTGATATGAGCGGTCCATAGACAACGATCTGCATTCCGTAGAAGGCACCATGACCCATCTGCTGCCTTATATTTCGCCATTTTCTGGGAGCGTCAAAGCTGATTGTTTCTCCATCATTAGAGCCTGTACCAAACCATTCAAATGGTTCTTCATCCACGAACTTGCCAGCCTCAATGCACGAGGTCAAGTACTCTCTCTTGAGTATCCACCTAATAATTGGAGAAAGAAGCTGTGAGCATTCAGATTTTGTGAAAAGACACAACTTTGCCACACAATCTCAAAAGTACAGTAACATTTTGACATAATAAATTAGCAAATGAAGTTAATATGTTCAAGCAAGCCATACAATCGCATCCATATCTTTCACTGATAAATGGTCATATAATTAATGTTAATAAGTACTTTATGATGTAAAGTTTGTAAACCAGTAATCTGCATCATAGTCCTAACCTGCCTGCTGCAGCTGCTGCAAAGAACTTCTCGGTTCTCCTCAGAGGGTCTGGAGCGATGAAATGTGTTGCTTGGTATGACCAATGATGTGAATCCCTACAAACTCGTCCCTTCAAGCGTCTAAGTATTGAGCGACAATCCCTTCTCTGCTGACGATTTCCACTTAAAATAAATAATGCAGGTTCACTCATGATCAAGGTTCCAGATTCACTTCTTTTTTCCCTTTGGTGCTTACTGAGCACAAGTGTGCTTTTCTTCATTGATTTTGCATCAGATAGTAAACACAAACTGCCAGTTCTATTTGGTTTAGACTTGAGATCACTACAGCCTAGTCTGTTCTCCTTTTCATGAGCTGAAGTCAGAGCTTTATTTCTTTTGCTGCTTCTCAACTTAGAATTGTATGGTCCTTGCTTGTCTATCGTGCAAGAATCTTGGCAAAATAGTCCAGATACCTCTCTCCTCACATCCTTACTGGACTTCTCGGAGTCTGGATCAGCAGTTACTTTGTTGATATTACATGCAATCCCTTCGGTTCTCTTTGATGAAAAAGCTTTTGTTTCAGATGTAATGGCACTACCAATTTTGCCAAACTTGCCACCAGACTTGTCTTCTACAGTTTTTATTTTCCTCTTGGCAGCTGCATTCCTAATTCTGGCATTTGATACGGTCTTGGGAGAAAGTGTTTCACAGTCATTAACACTTGCATAACTAGAAATCTTTTTAGGCCAATCTTCATCTTCAACATTGCCTGAGGGAAACCAGTCATCAAACAATGAACCAGCAGCCACTGTCTCAGTTTTGACCATTAATGTATCGTTGCTCATGTTGGTGTCAGATTTCCATGACCTCTTCGCAGCTCTATTCCTTACTCTGGAATTTGGTATTTTCTTAGGTGAATTTCTTTGTTGTTCATCAGCATTTGCAGTATCAAGATTTTTTTGGGGGTTTATCTCAATATTTTCTTGAGACATCACTTTACTGAACTCCAAACTAGAACCTACCCGTGCATCATCTATCTTGGTGCAAGCACTCCGTGTCCTCTTTGCAACAGTATCTGTCACTCTACAAATCGGTGCTTTCTTTGGAGGATTTGTTTTGAGTTCAGCTGCACATGCTGCACTGTAGCCATTTTTAGAGACTGGATCAGCATGCTCATGATGAATCACTTTGGCAGGCGAGGATTCAGCAACAACTTTCTTATCACTGCTGATAACTGACCCTTCAGACTCAATATTAGCACTCCGATGCCTCTTGACACCAGCATTCCTTCTTATAGTAGTTGGTGCTTTCTTTGAATAACTCGTTTCAGCCTGGACATTCCTAGAAGTGTCTTGAAATTGTTTTGTGCTTTCTTTCACAGTGGCATCAGACACCACCTTCTCAAGTTCAGAATTTGATGCCAATGCCACTTCATTACCATTCGCTTTGACTGGATCGGCTATCCTGTTGCCAGCATTTCCATAAGAGGGCACAACTTGTGAATTACTTGAACTGTGTACAGATTTTTCATGTGCCTGATCCTTTGTGCAGGCATTTCCTATCTCATTCAATGCATCACCACTAGGCTGTGTACTTTCCCCATCCTTATTCTGAAACTGAAAGCCTGCACTTGTTTTTCCATCTTGAACAGTGGCTGAAGAACTCATGGTGCATTTACTTTCTGCCGTTGCTTTGAATGACATTCTTGCTTTCCGTAAAGATTTTACGTTCTTATCACTTGAAGAATATTCAGGAAGCTTGATTCCACTGATGGGACCACCATGCTTGAGAGAAGTCTTCCTAGATCTTGTTTGTCTGCTTGTAGAAAAGCTAGAGTGTTGCTTTACCAAATTAACAGCATTAGCTTCAACTAGATTTATCCTTTCAGATGAAACATTTGCTGTTTCAGATGCATCACTCAGTCTACTCACAAATCGAGAATCTAAAGGACCAGTTTCTGACACCAGATCTTCCTTTTGCAAATTTAAGCTAGCTGGGGAGACTAAGCTCTTCCTTTTCTGAGCATATGCACCATCTAGTCCATCCTCACTCTTAGTGTTTTCATTGCCTTCAATGCTCTGAACATCAGCATGTTCAACAACCTTTTGGTGTCCCGTTTCTAATGTAGAAATATTGGGGTAACCTCTCAGTGTGCTTTCTTCAGCCCTCTGAGGTGATGCCATATGGTTAACTGAATGCCCTTCCTGTAAAAATGACTTCTGAGAGGCCTTTTTATCATTACTTGTGTTCTTGATGTTGTTGAACATGGAATCACCGCCAGGTTTTCGATTGGACTCATGATTGTTGAGCTTGGCATCAGCATTTAACTGACCAGCTGCTGCGATATGAATACCTGAGGGTCCATCCTTCTCCTGATGTTGCCATCTGTCAACTTTTGATGAATCAAGGTCATCCACAGACTGATTTCCTCTCAAAGGGTTGGTCAATAAGACTTCAGCTACATTGGTTTGATCATGACTGGCAGAATATTTTCCAGAAACATGATCTGTATGGCCTTTTAGAATACCCAAGGTCCCATTTAAGGTATCTACACGATGATTTCTAAAAACAGTAATTTTGCTTGTGCTTGGAGGACCCAGAACACCACTTGCAAGGTCCTGTGTCCTTGCACCAGCATATTTTTCTTTAACTTCCTGCAGATTCGGACTATTTGTGTTCCTTACTATATCTCTCTTTTCACCGGAAGATTGAATGGGTGCGAGTATATCAGCTTTAGCAGAACTTGCCAATAAACCAGAGTCAGGACTATCTTGGCCTGTAATATCATTTGTCTTGCTGTCTGCATCTTCTATATTCATGATATGAACAGGACTTTGAATGGGTGCAAGGACATCAACCTTAGCAGAAACTGCAACCATAGAGTTGGCACTGCTTTGGCCTCTAATATCATGTGTCTTGTTGTTTGCATTTTCTGTATTTATGGTATGAACAGGAGTGTTCAAATTCCTTCCTGCCACCACCTCTCTGTTACCACTGTGAATGATAGATGGTCACTTTGATAAATCGAAATCAGGCTTGGTAAAAGTTTCCTCGTAATTTTTCAGTTGAAAAGCACACCTGACACTGGGCCTATTGTTCAATGACCCTGGATATGATGCTTCTGCTTCATGCTCAGAGTCAATGGCTTGTGCTTGTGCATCCATTAACTCTAGCTCCCAACCACTGTGGAATTAGTTTTCAATGCATTCTATGAAATTGTTATACCGGGATGGGACCAGATCTAACTGAGATTAAAAAAAAAGACCAGGAAATTCAAAGAAAAAACAGAGAACAAGTACTGCAATTATACCTACCTTTTGCTATAATCACTGACTGGGAGAATTTTCCATGCCTTTAAGCTGAAACAATGAAGAGGTGAATCAAAACATAAGCAATCCGATTAACATATTGGCTTTCTATTAAATCAGGAAAGGTGGTTTTGAAATACCAGTCTTCCAACCACCGGTGATTAACAAGTTTGATGTTCACCTTTTTTGCAACCTCATACTTGTCACCTAGCATTATATGGAAAATCAAGGTGTGAAATTCAACTGCACATAACAAAACTATCTAGTATCATGGTATATGCATAGTCAAAGAAATAAATAACCAAAAACAGACATCTCATAGACATAATGATTATGTTGTTGTATTACTTCGCTGAAGTGTTTTTGGATACTTTCTAACGTCAAATAACATCTGGACATATGTTACAAATTTCCTCCAGTTCTGTATCACAAAAATACAAAACATGGTTCATAAGGTTAAACCTTGGTATGGTCCAAACTGTTATGGAACCAAAGAATTCTACAACCAAAAACACAAATGATGAGCTATAAATGTACATTATGGACAAACTTAGAAACATAGCTCCATTACTAATTAGATAAAAGACTCTTAACTAATGTTTAGAATCATTTATTAGAAAGAGCATTGTGCATCTCACATTAAAGTAGATGAAACCAATATAAGGATAGCTTTGTTTAGTCCTGCCGTTGGATATTTGTACCCAGTCCCCAGATACATACCTATGTGCAATGGGGAGGGCATGGGTAGAAATCGATCTACCAATTAGGGTATCGGTATACCCACAGATTATCCATTTGTCCAATTTTTATCCGTAGCTCAGCTGCTTCTCTTGATATTTGTGAGCGGCTGAGCACCATTGGTTCCTGAAGCTGGGACAATCTGTTTCTACATTTTCTTGGTCGCCTATGTTGAAGTATATAAGTCAATCCCCCCTTTCCCTATCAGCTTAACCTTAGCTTTGGGTTTGAGCATGGGTGGCCAACGCATACCCCCATAACACACAGACACAACCAACCACCACCACCACCACCACACACACACACAAACGGCATGCCTAGGTTTGGTAGACAAGTACAGGGAACTAGCTATGAAGTTCCATGGGAGGAAAGAGCAACAGGTGAATTGCTTGTTATAACAAAATTCAGCACAATAATATCTATATGTATTGCACGGTTTGACTGATTTTTTTTAAAAAAGAACAACACACCTTCGAATTTATAACAAATCAGGTGAGTGACCGCATTTGCTATCAAAGGTTTTGAGAACCGTGCTCCCATCAAAGAAACCATTTTCTGCATCAAAACATTAGAAGAATAATGTCTCAAGCACAACTATAGTACCCAAGAGCTTTTGCGTGAACACAACACATTAGTTTCTTATTTGAATGCAGAAGTGGAATGCACAAAAAATGCAAGTAACTTTTTGTGTCTACTCCTTCCAGTTCCAAAAAGGTAGCATTTTTTAGTTCAGTGCAGTCAAACTGTTTAAACTTTGGATGTGGATATGTCCTGTTTGGTGAAATGATTACATTCACAACCATATAGATAAAACTGGGAGGGTGCTACCATCATGTCTTCGCGATAGCTTTTTTGGTAACCCGTCAAGCATATAAGCAATGATTGAGCACCCAGTATTCCCTTCACATGTCTCATCGGCCAATACATAACCTGGAAAAGGCTGATCATAACGGGTCACAAAACTAAACCGTGGCTCTGATGAAGAAACGGGAGCACAAGTGCCCGAGCAATTAGTAGCAAAAGCCGACCCTATCAGCATCAGCAAGCACCCCGTGATCCAAGCTGTCCTCCACCCACAGCCCGTTGACGACCTTCTTCCCTTGCGCCCGCGCGGCCACGCACGTCGGGTCATCCTGCAAAGAAGAATTAAATCAGAGCCCCGTTCCCCATCCAAGCTTGCCAAGACAAAGAGGAGGAACCAATTTGCAAACCAAACTCACGTAGATGCGGTTCTCCACGACCACGTGTGTGCACCCATTGCCCGACGGCCCGGCGTCGGCGCCGCCGAGCCGCACCATCTCCGACCGGTACTGCACACGGAACGACGGACGCCGTCGGAACTTTATCAGCCAGATCGTCACAAACCGCAGCCAAACTGGGGCTACGAAAGCAAAATGCGAGGACGAGGCGCGGGGTGCCACGCACGCACCTGGGACGCGTCATCGCTGTTGAATCCGACCAGCAAGAAGCGGACGCCGTCGAACAGGTGCTCGTCGCCGATGTCGTCGTCCGTGCCAGGCGAGGCCATGGTGGGCAGTGAAACAGCGGGATCTAGAGGGGTGTGGAATGGGATCGTTAGGATTTGGGATTGGGGATTGTTCTTGCTCGAGCTGCGCGCGCGGCTTATCGGGGTTTGGGAAATCTCGAGAGGTCACTAGGTCAGGAGAGGGGGAGAGAAAAATCAAAAGCGGATCTCTGTTTCGGAGGGAAACGGGCCTTATTTTTCTTCTATTCTTCGGCCCGGGAGGTATACCTTTTGGTAATGGGCCTTATTTTTCTTCTGTTCTTTGGACGCATGGGCTCAAGGCCTGTTTGGACCTTTAAGAATAGGTAAATTTTGCTCGGGGAACCCGTTCAACTCTAAAATATGTCCAGTACCATTATAAAATTGTGGTTCTTTGCCACGGAACACCGTACCCATTAAAATATTCATTTTCATGGTTTGGGAGAGAGAAAGGGTGGTGAGTAGACCATATTGCCCCTACGAGTCGTCTTCCACCTTTGTCAAGGCATATATATACTACTAGTATGACCCTGACCAAGGTTGTACGGACTGTTGCGAACTAGATGATCACGCTGGGCAACTAAGTGCAATTTGATCAACCCCAAGACCAAGTGGTGAGATGTCAGAAGTGAGGATACGCACCCTTTGAACATCCTCGAGGAACTGGACGACGGAGTTTAGAGTTGGGCGGGATTGATCTTCCTCCACCGGCATAGGCTCGATGGTAACGATGGTGTAGTCTTCATGGTCACACGGCGGTTCACCTCCAAGTGCAACTCTACGCGTGTTGGGCAGTTTAGCCATGATCCATCGCAGGACCGACGACGAGGAAAGGGTTGGGGTTAACCGAGAAGTTTGCCATGGAGTCATCATTGCTCTCAGCGGCGACGACAGGATTGGGGTTTTCTGTTTCTGAGGGTTGTGGACCTATTGGATGATCTTTCTGCGGTAGTTCACCAATTAGGAGATGTGAAGGGTTCATAATAACTCCAGCATTAGAACCGAGGCGCTTGTTCTAAGGGGAGGATATGTTTCCCGAGGGGATCTCTGAGAGCGTTGGGAGCATGATTTTGGGCCTCCAGATTAGCTTGGTGTCGGTGTTTTGAGTTACCATCGACGAGTAAATTTATATTATGGCGCGTCTGGCTCGGATGGTGTGCTTAGAGGACACAAGGTTTATACTGGTTCAGGCAGAAAGTCCCTACGTCTAGTTCATCGCTGCTGCTCATGTTACTAGCACCGAAAGTTTGTAGTAGGGGTTACAAACGGGAGAGAGAGGGAAAGGATCCCGGTCTCTGGTGAAAGGAGTGAGTGGGTGCTGAGAGCTCAATCACTGCTCAGCTGTGCGTTCATGTCGTGCTCTTGTGCGGATTTGTATCGGATCCTGATGGGTTCGATCGATTAGGGGTCCCCTTCATGGGGTGCCCTGCTTTCCCTTTTATAGGCCAAGGGAAAGCACGGGTTATAGCGGAGGAAAAGGAGAAGAACGAGAGAGAGAGGACGGCCCCCAGGATTGTCGGGTCCTTCTCCTTCATGCGGGTCCTGCTGCCCCTGTAGATGTCAACAGGGATGGCTCCACGTCGCGGTCTTGTCCATCACTAGCGCCATGCGCAGGCATCATCTGCCAGTCATGGCGCTCCACTCTGTCCTAGCTGACGTCGTGGTGAACTGACGTGCCTATCAGTGTTCGTACGAGGGTTAGGCAGAATAGCATCGGTACGCCCGACGCTATTCTTGATGTGAATCCTCAGGTATGGTCCGTCGTGGTCGCGGGTTACATTGCGGCATGCTGGTCTCTTCCTTGGTGTTAGAGTTTTGACCCAGGCCCATACACTTGGAGCTGGAGTGGTTGGCGGTGGTATGAGTATCCATTGGGCGAGATGGAGCCTGCACCCAAGGGGTCTGGCGAGGCGAAGATCGTGGCCTCAGGGTCACGTGAGGTGGAGCCTGCGGCCTCGAGGTCGGGTGAGGCGGAGCCTGCCTCCAGAGGTCGTACGAGGCGAAGATTGTGGCCTCGGGGTCAGGCGAGGCGGAGATCGTGGCCTCGGGTTGGGCGAGGTGGAGCCCGCCCCTGGAGGTCGGGTGAGGCGGAGATCGTGGCCTCGGGGTCGGGCGAGACGGTGCCCACCCCCGGAGGTTGGGTGAGGCAGAGCCCGCACACCTGGGGGTCGGTTGGAACTGTAGGCGTGCTCTTGACTGCTCGGTTGAATCAATGATGATGACCATTAACTCCTCCTCTTTGGGTACCTTAGTATTAGTCCCCGACAGTAGCCCCCGAGCCTACGGAGGAGTAGAATACTCCTTCGAAGGCTTTTCCGAACGGGAGGACTCTGAGGGCCTTGGCCTTTTCTTGTTGCCCATGGTGTGTCCTAGGGACGGTGATTCCCTTTCGTCATGATCGGGCCTCTCACGGGTATAGCCGTGAGATTTTGTGGGTCGGAAAAGGTCTTTCCTGATTTTGACCCCTATGGGGGTCTGTCGTTCTATGATTGTGCATTCGGTCTCCTTGCGAGTCTAACTTTTCTTGAGCCCCCGCACATAGCAGGGGTCCGGTCGAGGGTCGGCTCGTCTTCGTGATCGTCTTTCCTCAAGCGTTTTTTCTGATAAAAACGGAGGGGCTGAGCCATGCCATAATTTTCCTCTATGGACGAGCCATGGTGCTCGGTGAGTTGTTAACGTGCTAGTCCAAGTGGGGCCCTAGCATCCCATTCACGGGGGTCTGGCTTGGGTCAGCTAGTGACCGACTCTAGATTCTCAGCGGTCAATCCATATAGTTCTTAGGTCCATTCAATCGGTCCCGAGGGCTCTCTACCTTTCTTTGAGGAAAAACCATGGATAGAAACTGCCCGAGGCTCGAACGTGGGCTAGGACACTCGTGGTGCTCATGCATTCGGGTACTGGCCGCTAGCAGGCCCATTTCTTTCCACCCTCATGCTAAAAGTGCCAGGAGCGGTTGTCGAACCCGTCGGTAGGCCAACATTTGAACTCCTAGGCTTAGACAGGACGTAGGAGCGTTTTCAGCTCCGTATCCCTCTTACCTGTGATGGGTCTGGGCCTATTCGGGGTGGCAAAATGTTCGATGTGTTTTTCAACGGGACGGCCATAGGTTACGTGCGCACGCCCCATGACGAGACATGGTGACAGGTCGTGGCAGGTGTGGAGATCTAGGCAGGCGGTTGGTTTCCTCATACTCGTCGCCTCTATAAAACTAAAGGGTTAGCCCTCTGGGTTTCATACACATGCCTGCACCCTTGCCTCCATAGGCACGCCGCTGCCGCCAACGCTTAGGTTTCCTGTCTCCGCATCTCCGCCGCCGTTGAGCTCGCATCCATCTGCTCCCACCTCCAATGGATTCGTGGTGCCATTCCGACATTACCTTCCAGCGCATGGAGGGCCTCATCCGTCATGGTCTTCTTCGCACGTGGACCTCGGCCGAGGAGTGGTTGCTGCTCAGCGACGAGGGTTTGCTGTCGCCGCCCGATAGCTACGTGGTGTCGTTCACCCATTTCCACGAGCGTGGGCTTGCGACCCCCACCCAGAAATTCGTTCGGGGGCTGCTGCACTTCTACAAGATTGAGTTGCAGCATCTTAATCCCAACAGGATCTAGCACATGGTGGCGTTCGTCATGCTGTGTGAAGGATTCCTAAGGATCAGCCCCCACTTCAACTTGTGGAGGTATTTCTTTGCCGTCAGCCTCTAGAGGAAGAGGGAGAAGGGCGGCAGGCAGGAGCTGCACATGCTGATGGGGTGCACCGACATCCAACTTCGGAACAATCGGGTCAGCGAGTACCCGTCCATGTGGCTCTCGACATCCAACAAGGGGTGGCACTCACAGTAGTTCTACCTCAAGAATGACGCCACCGCCCCTCTGCCGGAGTTCACCGGGTGCCTGACGAAGAGGCCCCGGAGCAGTAGAGGAACTGGGGCATGCCAGAGAAGGACAAGAAGAAGATTTGAGACCACATCACCGCTATCCATATCCTAAAGGAGAACTACCTGAAAGGGTCGGGCATCATCGGGGCCTACCATGCGAGGAGGGTGGCACCGGTGATGACGCGCACACTCCCGCTATACGCGATGGTGCCCGAGACGTCATTCGACAGAACGACGCTCGCTGAGGGAACGCTCCCCAACTCCGCGATCACACAATGCATCAAGAAGGTGATGGAGCCTTTGCGGGATGACGTGGGTGCCACCCTTGACTTCATCTACTCGGTGCCAGGGCATCCTCCGATGTGGCCAGAGCCAGGCTACGTCATCTTCGTAAGTTTTCCTTTCTCCTGCCTTCTCTTCAATTGATTTCCCGACCCCGTGGGACTAACTTTGAGTGGGGCAGGACCAGCCGAGGGACCTCATCCTCATGGATCATCCGGCTCCACTGCCGAGGGATTCGGCCATGAGGGCGGTGAATCGCGCTGAGGGTGAGCGGCTGAGGAAGGCGAAGGAGGACAAGAAGAGGAAAGAAGCAGCAGAAGCTGCGGGTGTGAGAACAAGGGGAGGACACCGACAATGATGATGACAATGATGATGGTGATGATGACGAGGTGATGGAGGAAGAAGAAATGGTAGCCGATGATATCGAGTGGGACAACCTGGAGAACGAGGATGCACTGATAGGCATCGGTTCATCCTTGCTGGCATCGGGACCCTTCCTGTCCCATGGAGGGGAGGGTACGTCTGGGGAGCCGACGGAGGCGGGACATACCATCGGCCTGCCTCAGGAGCCAACAGAGGCGGGTGGCTCTGCCATCGTGCCTGAGATGCCAGCGGAGGCAGGTGGCCCTGCTGTCACGCCCCCTGAGCCAAGGGGAGCGGGGTGTTCCGCCAACGTGCCCTAGGAGTTGCCCGGGGCAAGCCCCTCTGCCTAGAAGCAAGGGGCGCGCTCGAAGCGGCCTCGTTCTGACGAGATGGAGCAAGGGTCGGGGGGTTCGCCCCCCAAACGCATCTGCCGTCCGACGGCGCCGAGGTGAGTTATCGATTCCTCTATTTTTTCCTGTTTTAGTCGGATTTCATCGTGACTTGT